AAACGGAAACAAGATATGTTTGAAAAGGTCCATGACAGAAATATGCTTCGTCTGTTTTGTGAAGATCATTTTGTTGATAATGTTTTTACGTTTATGTGTACACAAAAGATGGTTTTATGTGTGAGAAGTTCTTTGTGACTTTTCTTTATTTGCGCCTCAGTGTGTGCTTTGGTTGTTTGTTGCGGCATACATATGCACACATGCTTGTATCGAGGAAAAAAATCTAATAAACATAAAAAATATGATTTTGCAGACAAGAATAAATTAAATAAAACAAAGAACTGTGTGAGTTCAATTCAACTGAACTCACTTATCTCAATTCAAATTTCATAGAAAAGAGAAGAAATTAATACAAAATATTTCATCTTTTAAATTTAAATTCAGTTTGAAATAAAACCAAATGTTGAGGATATTCACAGAAACCAGGTATCCAGGTATTTTTCAAAACTTTTTTTTTTTACTAGACTAAAACTATTGCAGTGGTACATTAATACTGGACTCTAATAGCCAAAGTGACAAATTAGGGGCATTTCAGCTATGCCTCAACATTCATAGTTATTTTCTTTTTACTACCTAACTAACTAACAGGACAGACATTTTTTTTTCTTGTGTACTTCAGTCTTCCCTTTTATTTCTAAAGATTAAAGATTTTTTCAGTCAGTAAAAACAGTGAAAGAAGACAGGAGTTATAAAGCAGTGCTTTAGAATACATTTTAGACACATTAGTAGTTTGATCCTGTTCAGCAGCTTCAACACAGACAACACTTGATTAAAAATGTAACTGTTAGACGTGCTATTTCATTTAGAATGAACCTTTCCCCTCGATCATTAAAGACGAGTTTAACATAAAGCTGAGTCTGGAATTAGTAGGATCTATGTGAATGTTTAAATTCTATATTGACAAAACATACAAGAAACTATATGAATGAAGAAAAATGAATGAAGACCATGAGTGGGTCATGGACTAAATTGTCATTTATTAAAAAATAGCAGGATAAAAGCTCGAAACCTCATGAAGGACCACAGCGACTCACAGCGATATGACAATAGACACATACAATAGTTTTGTTTTGTTTTTTTTCTTCTTTCTCTCAGCCGTGACTCATCTGGCTTGTTAAAGAGCCATTTACACGAACAGCAATAAAATACAAGCATGGATATCTTTGGCTTAAACATTAACAGCTAAATACTAAAGTGATTCGTTAGTGATGCGTGGATTTACATCGCCATCTAAGGAACAAGAACCATCAGTTCTCTGTGAGTCTGGATCACCTTTCTGAGTAGGCATCCAGGGCTCTCTCTGCTTTATAAAGGGATTTCTCACTCACCTATATGTAGTTTATATCCTTGTTCATCACATTGATGCAGGGTGAAATTAGGCTGCACTAAGGCCTCCAGACAGTGAACGCAACACAACACCAATTAAACAGTTCTGTATACAGGTGGAACACATCTGTATGTGACTGACATCAGGTGGGTAAAAGCTCAAAGATGGGTAACATGATCTACATCTACTGTGCTTTAAAGCTTCAGGGAACAAAAGTGTAAAATGAGAGATGAGTTTGTGACTGACCGACAGAAAACACACACACACACACACACACACACCTGTCCTCCTCCGCCAGTCCTACCTGTCTGGTTGCGGGCCGCCTGCTGTGTGTCCATGCAGTTGGTCAGGTACGGTGGGTTGCTGAACATCCTGCTGGGGGGCTGGTGGTGGTGCGGGGCGGTCACAGATGGAGGTTGAGTGGGGGCTGGTGCTGGAGGTGGTGGTGCCCCGAATGCTGTCCCGTACCTGCAGGCCCCGGTCCCTGTGAACTGCCCTGAGAAGTGGACGGTGAAGGCGCTGAGACCGCAGTGAGGGTCTGTGTCGAGGTGGTGGGGGTCACTGGTGGCCCCCCAGCTGGGCTCCTGCTTGATAAAGGAGTGCGGCCCCAGGGAGGTGTGGGGGGTGGCCAGAGAGGAGTAAGGGGAGGCGGCGGTGTGGAAGTCCAGGACGGGAGCCCACTGAGGGGCTGTGCTGACGGGCAGGGCCGGGCAGCCGGGGCTGGGGCCCGCCGGGAGCGGAGGCAGCAGAGAGTTCAGGTCACGTACGTCTGAACCCATTGTGGTCCAGGGGACAAAACTAGGACAAAAGTAGGCTATTTTTAAAATTGATCTGTCACCCCGTACTTTTCTACCTGTCTGTCTCCCTGCCTTGAGTCTGGCTGACCCAAACCCAAATCAGCCACCACCCTCTAAATCTTTCACTACAAGCACTGTTTCTCCTCTTTCACAAGTCTTCTCTGGTTTGGTTTTTGCCCATCAGTTGTTTACGACACCACACAGCTGCTCTGGAAACTCCTCAAGTCCGACAGAAGTTCATGGCGACACAGAAAAGTCAGAGACGTCAACTTTTCTCAACAGCAGCACGAGGAGAAGAAATAAAAAAAATCACAGTTTCCGTCAACAACAGCAGTGAAAGAGCGTTTGGCTCGGGGAGATGGAGTCCATTCAAGGAGGAGAGAGGTTTCTGTTCTGCTCAGAGCTTTCTCAGTGAATGGAGAAAGAGGAGTGGAGGAGTGAGGAGGAGTAGCCCTCTTTTCCCTCCACACTCTCAGCCCTAAGTGTGTGTGTGTGTGCGGGTGTGTGTCTGAGGAGGGTAGGAGGTGGAGTCAGGAGGTGATGAGGGACAGGAGCCCTCTGACTTCATTCATCTACTGTACGCTGAACAGTACACACACACCACACACACACACACACACACACACGCACACACACAAACATTAGCAGGAAAATACACACCAATTTTGACCTCAGTCACTAAAACAAAAATAACAATTCCTTATAATTGTTATATTTTGGCTAATATATATAAAAAAAACTCCTCCTCATGAAATGTTCTCTGGGCTGTGTTGAGAGACGAATATCCCATGATCCACTCTGTTGTTTAAGGTTATAGAGCTATAAATCTACTTAACTGCTCAGAGGGCTGATATTTTTCAGCTCATTAGGGGTCAAATATACACAGAGGCTTATTATTTTTAATCAGGAAGCATTAAATAAGCTATTTTAAGACGTTTCTAATCGAAAGAAGTCTCCATAACATCCTGTGATAGCCTACAATTCCGACCTTTAAATTCATCTCGGCTGAAACAGAAGTGCGCACTGAGGCCGGACCTCAGGCAGAGAGACGTTTTAAAGAGAAATAACATGAGATCAAATACATTACCTTAAAGGACTGCAGTTTATTCAGGTTATATTCTACAATTTATCCCCCGGATTGGATTTTTTAAATGATTTTTGATGGTTACGAAAAAAAAATGATAACGGTTTCATTTCAATTGTAGGCAGATTCATTGTTACTGGCCCGCCTGATAATACATCTTGTGGATTTAGGCTTCAGGCCTACCCTGCAATTCGTTTATTTATTTATTGGTAGCCTACGTGTTTTAATTTTATTAACTGTAATTTAACCAATAGAGGCAGTAAAATTCTCATTTAAAGAAGGCCGTTATTCGTTTACAAAGAATTAATGACGACCTGAAAACTACCAAATAAATAAATAAAATAAATAAAAGCGGACATCGTTTGGTTTCAGTTAAATTAGTAAAACAAAACATTATATCGGCCTATTTATATGCATTATTTTTAAACACTATATATTATTATAAACTAAATGATCAATCAAATATTCAGCTCCAAGCCTTCGTGTCCGGTTTTCCTCTTAATTCCGCTCTCTCTCTGTTTTCTGTTCATTACCTGCAATGAGACATGTCCACAGAGTGTCGACGAGAAGTTCGTTTCTGTTATAATCTTTACCTGAGTGTGTGTGTGTGTGTGTGTGTGTGTGTGTGTGTGTGTGTGTGTGTGTGTGTGTGTGTGTGTGCGGAGCGGCAGTCTGGTTGAAGGGTGGATAACGGCTCATTTAATGCAAATATCATCTTTTACCACCAGTGTGGAAGCGCTCAGTATAACACAGACAGACTTTAACCTCCAGTTCATCTTAATAATACCCTCAACAGCCTCATAAGAAATAAAATGCTGATCATTCCTTCTTCCGTCACAGGAAAGGATGGTCTTAAATAAATGATCCTAACGCGCCAACATGATTTCAGCTTCATTAAAGTCGCAGCATAAACTTATTTTGGAATAAATTTAGTCTTTAATTGCTAACAATTTACTGCGTTTTTACATAATCAATATTAAAAATGTATTTATTTCTATCCTATTTGCTGACGCTTCTAACGGAACCGACCCTTTCAGTGTCTTGTCCTCATTGCTTGCTGTACTAAACTTCATCATGTTACAGTCAGGGCTAGAAACAGGCTGTTGTCCTGTCCATGACCCTCAGCCATAACTAACGGAGAGGAGAATATGGGACAACTATGATGAAGCATCTTCAGAAAAGCGCACTAACAAATACAAAAACACTTCCAGACTATTTCTTTCTAAAAACAAACTTCACAATGTGAATTTGTTTTTTTCTTAAAGTAACTCAAAATGAATTTCTTGTAGGCTAATTACACTACCGATCCATGCTGTGATAGGATATTTTTAAATTTTGTATTTTTAAGTTTAATTACATTTTCACTAAAGGAGGTTTTTGAACATCAACCTGCTCAGGGATATCAGGCTGAACCTGGCTCATTCACATCATATATAACACATATTAATGTGTATTGTCCCTGATTAATAATGTATAAATGAACAAGTACTAGAGCAGAGAACCCGTCTGTCTCTCTTTCTGTCGGTCGGTCTGTCTGTCTGTCTGTCGGTCTGTCTGTCTATCTGCTGTGTGCATTTTGAAATGTTGTGAGTAGAATTGACAGGTCTGATAAGCTAGTTGTGTTTGTTAATGAGGCTTAGTGACACACAGCAGGCTGTAGCTTGAGAAGAGAAGAGGCAGAAAACCTATGATGTAATGTTTCTGATGTACAGGGCCATTTTGAGGCTGAGGTTTGGTTTACTGCTCTTTACCGCTTAGTTCAGTCAGATCATCCAGGTTTGGGCAGGAGGAGGAGCTGGATGAGAGGAGCAAGTGGCAGCCACCACAGCTGTCTGTGAAAGGCTGAGGGACCTGTCAATCAAGGCAATCACGTCCCCAAACATACCTTAATTATTATAATACAGATATATCTTCTTAATATAGTGTTTGTCAAAGCGGAGGCCCATCCAGGGGTTTGTCAGGGAGGAAGATGAGGGGGAAAAAAATATTTAAAAAAATATAATCAAATTAACTAAACCCTGACATTCCGTATAATTATGTGTATTATTATGATTTATTATTTATGATAATAATATTTAACATACTGGAATCTTATTTGCCATGCATATCTTTCTAACTGCCTGCCAGATAAAACATCACTGGTACATAAATTGTCAGTATTGACTTGGTGACGGTCTGTGCCCATCAACTCATAGAAATGAACACATTTGTTTAAATGTAAAGTTTCTGAATACAAATGTAATAATTATTGCATTATAAAACTAAGAATATATATATACATATTATTGCCTTCAACCAACAGTAACAGTTGAAGAGTGACAGGGAGGTGGGGGGAAGGCACGACATGCAGCAAGGGGCCACAGGGCAGAATCGAACTCTTGGCCACAGCAGCAGGGACCCAGCCCCGGCTCATGGGGCACCAGCTCTACCAGACGAGGTACCCAAACACCCCCATCCACCTGTTTTTATACATATTTTCATTTTGCATAAAAAAAAACACAAATGAAAATTCTGTAAATTAGACAAAAAAAAGTTTAAATATTGCAAAAAATATTTTTACGCTTGTCTAAGGTAGTCAAGTTATTGTGTTGATGAAAACAAAATTTGTTGAAGTGCAATGGAAACAGCGATACTCCCACTTGGCTGAAGAGGTAAAACATTTCAGCAGACAAAAACATCAGATCTGTCTGGAGCGATGAGGAGACAGCAACCTTCCTCAATAATAAAACATTTCCATCATGTTTCTACATGATTTCCCATTATTTCCTCAAACAGTATTTCTCATTGTTTGAGGTTGGCATATTTTTAATTGGGTCATCTCATTGTGTCTTCTTATATTCACATAACAGCAATTAATAAGCATTTTTATTTGCCTAAATTTGTCTGGAAATTTAGCTAAAGGTTCAGTGTGTAACATTGAGGAGGCTCTATTGACAGAAATGGAATATAATATTCATAGGTATGTTTTCATTAGTGTATCATCACCTGAATATAGGAATCATTGTGTTTTCGTTACCTAAGAAAGAGCTGTTTATATTTACAGACACCACAGGTCGCCTTCAATGGAGTCTGCTATGTTGAACTGCCATGTTTCTACTGTAGCCCAGAATGGACAAACCAAACACTAGATAGGGCCTTTCACGGTTTTCACGCATTTCGTGGCCACCGTACTTTCTTCTAAACACTTTTCATTCTCAAGTCATCAAATACAGAAGCCATCGGTGTTCAGTGAGTTGCAATCAGCAACTTTACCGCTACATACCATTAAATCCTACACACCAGCCCATTAAACTCTACGCCACGTTTTCATCACCTAGGGGCCGTGGTTGAACTACTTCTGCTTAAAGCACGTCACACATGAAAGATTCAAAGTTCTTTTTTAACAAAGAATGCAACATCTACAAAATCATTGGTAACTACAGTATGGTTAAGGTCAGGGAAACATCATGGTTACAGTAAAAATAATCAATTGGTGGACTGTGATGGGACGTGAACTCTGACCTCCACTCCCATACTTATCCTGTTACTACAGTGAATAAAGGGCACGGCTCCCCACGCTGGACATAAATCACAAACTACAGAAAATCCTCCAGTTTTAAATGTTCTTACTTGGGACGAGTCAAATGGCTTATCAGAATCAGAATCAGAATCAGAATCAGAAATACTTTAATAATCCCAGGGGGAAATTACTTATGACAGTACAGTGTGTATTTCACCAGGTAGCATTATTAGCTCATCAATAAGCTAATGCTATCCAAGTCTAATAACCACCAGCTGGCTAACCCTTAGGTTTAATAACCGATGAGAACAGACTGTGTTGTTGCTTTAGAGAAGCTCTTATAAACGGGGAAAGTTTGTAACCAAACTTCAAAGAAGAATCACATTATTGTTTTCTGACCTTTGCCTATCTTCCTCTCATACATACTGTGTGTGTGTGTGTGTGTGTGTGTGTGTGTGTGTGTGTGTGTGTGTGTGTGTGTGTGTGTGTGTGTGTTGTCCTTGAGTGATGCCATTGCTTCTGATCTAAGACCGTAGGCCTATTTACGGTTTATCTCTCGCTGACTGATGAACCTGGTTTTGCCAGCTGTCTTGTGGCCATGGCAACCAACAAACATGTACATACATAGCACCACACAGTATTCTCACTAACTTTCACTTTTGAAAAATTATTTTTAACAACCGTCTACAGAGCCTTCCTTGTCAGATTGTAAAACAGATCACATTTGGAAAACAAACACAAAGAAAACATCAATGCAAAAGAACCGGACTGAGATGGAAACACAATCCGCAAAGCCACTGGGACAGATGTTTCAGTGTCAAACAGCTGGACACAGTTAGTCTTCAGCATTATGAACTGAAACCTTCTCAAACAAGTCTTCCAGTTTGAA